TCTGTACCCCAGTTTTCAAAATGCAGCTCTTTATGGCCCCAGCCCAGAGCATGGGACGTTTTATCAGGGTCTTAGCCTTTGGCAGGCTCTTCTAGGGTCTGCTAAAAAGATAGCTCTGTCTCTCCTTTTGAATCACCCTGGTGCAAAAGCAGTTGGACCTTGTCAGTCTTCATCTGACTGACCCCAGTGTTCCCTAAAAGTGAAGACACCCCGCCCCCATCTCCCACAGCTGCCTTCTTTCCATAGCCCACTTCTTACCCCCAGGACAGAAGCAGCTTTCTTTCCTCATTCTCACTAGGTAGTTTTACATTCATACTGTTAATTCTTTAAAGCTTTAAAAATCTTTTTTTTACTCATCCAGTTTTTATAGTTATTTTTGTTTATTTTGTTCTCTTTTTTTTGTTTTTGTTTTTGTTTTTGTCACCTTCAGAAGAAACTCTAGTCAGAGAAATCCAGATTTGGTCTGTTCTTTACAGTGTTCCTCAAAGAATAGTTTGCAGATGCATTCTAATCTACCAACTTTTACCAATCTATAATGAGCTAAGTACAGAAATTGAGAGTAAACATTTAGAAACAGTAGGAGCAATTTGACACTGCTGTGAAATCATAGCACATGATTTTGTACTTTATAAAAATATTGGTTCATAATGTACCTGAGGGGTGAAAAAAACTGCACAGTTGATTTGGGAAATACTTTTCCAAACAATCAGATGCTAGTGTCCTACAAGTCCTCTCCTTCTCTGCTTTTACAGAATGCATCGTAGAGGAGGGTATAACTTCTCCTCTACCCTCTTAGGTCATCTGGGGCCTGCAAATTAAACAGGCAAGTGACAGGTTAACAGGAGAAAAGATTTATTTCATATGCACATGTTAGGGTGGTGGGGGCTCACAGAAAAAAAAATGAAAACCACAAAGAGGCAGTTAGACCCAGAAGCTTATATACCATTTTAACAAAGAGTGGTATCGTGTGGAAAAGAAACTAGACAAAGGAAGCGGAGTGGTGAGTTTGGGCCTCTAGGCTTGGGGGTAAGTTGTTGGAAGGTGAGCAGAACATGCATTGTAAATAAAAGTTGTTTAGTAAGGTTTGTTATGCAGATAAGAGTAGTTCTCTTCCTGGTACTTGAGAAGGGAACACCTTTACAAAAGGAAATTTATGCACTGTTTTGGGGCAGAATGGAGGAGAGCAGAGAATTCTTTCTGTGTCTGCTGTTTTTTAATTACCTTCAGTTCAAAATAATCCTATACCAAAGTGGCATATTTGGGGGTAGCATACTCTGATCCCTTCAGCATATAGCCAGCCATACCTTGTGCCTCTATTTTCTTCGTCTGGTGTATTTGTTTTTGCATAAATTTTTTAATTATATAAGTAATGCGTGTTTATTTTAAAATTTTTTTAATTCAGATAGACAAAAGGGAGGAATGGCTAAGATCATTCATAATCTCATCGCTTTTCAGAAGTCAGTAAACTTCCCATAGTTTTTCTCTGCATATAGTATGGGAGCACTCCCTATACTCATCCATAGCATGGCTTCTTCTCCCTTGCATTTCACTCCCTCATAATGGAACCAATTGGGAAAATTCAGAACATGCTTTTTGAAGCTTCTAGGCAGTCCCAGAAACACCCTGGGAAGCCGAAGAGAAAAGCAATAAAAGAAGCTTTATAATTCTTTTTAGAAACATTATATTATCGAATAAAGTTTATCAAATACTTGAGACATTAAATTATTTGTTCAAGGTTATTCTATTGGGATTGTATGTATTATGAATACATATATTTTAAATTTAAGTGATGAATAAAATGTGCTTTAATAGTATTTTTAGTTTTTATTTCTGTATCTCACAAAATTAAAAATTAATGGACTACCTCTTTAATATCAATTAATGTTATGAATACTTGATTAAATAGCTTTAATAATAGAAAATTACTTTCACAGAGATGAGTTATTTTCATATTAACTCCTCAAAAAACATGCCTACATATTTAAAAAGTTACATAGGTGATTTTGTTTAGTACCTCTAAACCATTGTTATGAACCATTGTATTAAAAATGTAAAATACCCAAAAGATCCCATTTATAATAGCAACTAAAAATATAAAATGTCTCAAGAGGAAAACCCAATGATCAGTATTTGGAACCAATATAAAGAAAACCTGTAAACTACAACTAGAGACATGAGAGGAAATGGAGAGACATATCGTGTTCATAGATGAGAATATTAGAAAAATTTTATTTCCCAGAAGTTAACCTATAAATAAATGGCATCTTAGCTAAAATATAAAAATGATTTACCATTTGACAAACTTATTTTAAAGTTTACCTGGGAGAAAAAATTTATAAGAAATGTTGACAAAGAATAGTAATGAAATGAGACTTATTTTGCCAAATATTAATATATACTATTACAGTATTAAAAATGGTATGGTACTAGATACAAGAATAGACAGGTCTGTGGAAAAGAGTAGAAACCTAAAAATACCTGTGTGTGTACACAAGTGTAGAGATTGTCATTTCAAGTACTAGTATTTCAGATGACCAGAATAAATGGATTGATCCATGCTGGTAATTATAGCACAGGACAGTAAATAATTTCCAGTTATTTCTCACTGACTGGTTTCCTCCATAGGTTGACTTCTCACTACATTACTACCTTCTCCTACCCCAAAGACTCTTTGTTTCCTTCTTCCAGGTCCCTCCAAAAAACTTCCTCTGGCTCTCAGGACTGCTTGCTTTATGATGCAATTAATTTAGCTTTCTCATTTGCCTAATTCTTATCTAAGTTGAATAGTGTTTATCTTCACATTTCACAATTAATAAGGAAAACAGTTCAACAAAACTGTAATTTTCTTTCTTTGACATGCTTTTTAGTCCTCATATATCAACCAAACCAGCTCAAATAAACTACAGTCATCTTTAAAAATTGTATTTTTTTTCTCTTCACAGTGCAAAGACATGAAAAATATTCAGCTTCTCTAGTAATCAAGGAAAAGCGAATTAAAGCAATTGTAAATGACTTTTTCTTGCTATCTGATTGGCAAAAAATTTTTAAAAATAGTCATCCTAGTAGAGACAAAATAAAGGAAAGGACACTTTCACACTCAGTAGGGGCAGTATGAATTGTTAAAATTTTTCCAGTAGTGTGTGTATCAAAAATTTTATTGTATATGCCCTTTAACATAACAACTCCACTTGTAGGACCTTTACTACAGCAGATGAGCAGGGTCATTCACAAAGATGCATGATCATGTTCATCTGGGCTTGATTTCTGTTGGTGGAAAATGAACACTGCTATGCTTCAGAATAGACTAAGGCATCATAAAAATTATTTTGAAGAAGAAACCTAATTGACATTGGAAAATGTTCATTAGCTGTGAAATAGAAACTAGGTAAAATTTGTAAAGCCATATATAAATGTGAAAATATTTTCATTTAAATAAAAATACACCAAGATTTAATTAATATAATCAACTGTTTATTAAATATTTACCGTATACTCAGTCTTCTGTGTTGAAAGTATAAAATACACTTGTTCTTTAGGACTTTATGCTATTGTTGAACTGTTGAGCTTAAATATGTGCATTTGGTCCTTGCACACCCAGTAGATGTACCTCTAGATAAAAGGAAGAGCACTGAACATAAATAAGCATTTGAATCCTGTCCCTGTCACATACTAGTCGACTCACTCAGACAAATTATTTAAGAATGAGGGTGCTGACCTCATGAGGTGATTATAAGAATGAAGGGAGATATAAGCAGGAGTGCTTCCCATGATGCTTAGTGGGTAGTAATATTAGTTAGCAATGATTACTAATTATTATTATAACTAATTATTTAGTAATTATTA